TTTGACCATACCACGTCTCCAGACATAAGACATCATAAGACAGCACGTCAGGCTCAAAAAAGCATCTTAGGGATACACATCAAATCATATATGTTGAGTCGAGTTCATCAACGGTCCAACACCACCATATAACACACACACAAGAGATTCCAAACAGTGCTAAGTAGAACAAGATAAGGGCCTCTACGCACTTTAGAGCGCACACGCGCACACACACACACACACGCATGAGAGCACAGGTATGAGTGAGCACGCATTTTCTGGTTCTCCACCCGGAGGTAAAGAATGGGGTTGCGCTTTTTTGTTCCATAGTGTTTTGGCTTCAGCCTCACCAGGCTTGGTTGATGTTGCCTTTGCCAAATGCTTTTGTCAAAACAAAAAGTGTTTGTTGTTCTGTTTGGGTAAAGCTCCTGTGCTTAGGTCTGGCATTCATTCCACAGAGCTATCTCTCCTTTGTGGTGGAGTGCAGCTTCAAGACCATGAGGCCAAAAGAAAAGCTTCCTGAGAAGATTGGAATCTGCAGACTCCTGATCAATTCCAACTGTTGCATTGTGGTGTTGTCTCCCTGGCCTGTTCTACGCATTGAGGTGCTGCTCGCCACCTACGCTGAAGCGCTCAACAAACCGCCTCCACAATTGCAGCTTTTACGTATCTTCAGGCAGAGTCCTTTTTGTGAGCGTGCCTCGCTCAGAAATGAGCACTTGGTGAAGCAGGAGGTTGCTTGTACTGCCCCAGTATATATTTCGTCAGAACGTGCAAGCGCCCACTATCGCAGTGCGCGTGTGTTTACACGACACTACGTGCTAGTGGCGAGTGCGCAGGTGTTTGTTTTAGGTGGTGTGTTTTGAATGACTCAACAGCTGGTTGGTCAAAGATAGCAGAAATGGCATATATCGGGGACGTTCCAAGCTGTGTGGTGCAAAAGGCTGTCGCGCCACTGCTGCTTTGGGTTGGACTTTGCGAAAGCCAGCCGATAGGCTAGGCTGAAGTGCTGTTCAGGCGAGCGAAGTGAGTCGCTTCGGAACGCAGAAAAACGATCGCTTCGGAACGCAGGAATGTGATCGCTTCGGAACGCGTGTCATCGCTAGTAGGTTCCAGCAGTCATGGGCCGCGTGAACATATGCACGCAACATCATACGGTGTTGTCGCTTGAGCGTTCTTTGTCTATTAGTGCTGTGGGGTATTTACACTCTTCAGGTTCTGTTTTGGCCGACAGCTGACTGTGTCAAGGGCCGTACTGTTTGCGCGCATACTTTTGCACGTATAATGTTCTACGCGCAAAGTCAGGCTCTCAACCGACCATTGTTTCAGCATGTTTCAGCATGCTGCACACACAATGGTCGTGCTGGATGCTGCTTGGCCTTGGGCGAGTGAAGCCTACGGGCTTTGCCGTTTGTGCGCATACTTTTGCGCGCATAATCCTATACGCGCAAGATCATACGGCCCTATCGTTCTGCAGATCATAGCTTCAAGCATGCTACAAAGTCAATAGTGGCGCTGGATACTGCTTGGCATTGGGCCAATGACACTTACGGGCTTTGCTGTTTGCGCGCATACTTTTGTGCGCATAAACTTATACGCGCAAGATCATACGTTGTTACTCCCCAAATAGGGATAGCTATGGGGTTCTTGCTGCAAATAAGAATGAGCTGGCTGCGCGCGCTTTCGAAAGGGTGTCGGTGCTGGTGTTGGTGTTGTGGTCAAAGCGCAGGCTGCGTACATTCTGGTTCCAGCCGGTCGCATGTTAACAGGTCGTGGGATTCTGCCTAGCTATCTGGGTCTATGCTGGTGTAATTTGTATCATCCACCGGGCATGACGGCATCTTTTGCATCGTCAACTGGGCCTATCATCCACCGGGCATGACGGCATCTTTTGCATCGTCAACTGGGCCTGAGGAAAAATTTTTGGAGTGCTTGGCATAATTGTAATTTTCGATTTAGTTTGTGGGTCAATCCGTGCATGAAGTCGAACCATGCGTGAAAGGAAAGATCGTGTGACTTACACAGGTCTAGATGCGGAGAGTCGAGGAAGGATGTTTGCGAAGAGCGGGTTCTAGCGAGAAGGGTGCAGACAAAGCGGGGCACGGTAACAAAGACTTGTCGGTACAGGAAGCACTTTTCTGGGTTGGTGCGCTTTTGCGGTGTGTTTGAAGGCAAGCGTGGGCGCCCTGGAAAAGTGTCTTTTAGCGCAAAGTTTGCCCTGCTGCTTGAGACAAATTCTGGCAGATAAGTGTTCCAATATAGCCAGTATCAGTATGATGTGAGCCTGTGAGCTCCTGCTCCTGCCGCCTCACGAAGAAAATTCTTTCTGACGTGATACATCTTGGGCTCCTCTGGCTGCTCACTGCTCTTTGAACTTGGCACCTCCTCATCTTCTCAATGATCACTGACTACCGTCCATCCTCTCTTGCCTGGCTTCTGCCATACGCTCGTCTCTTTCGAAGCGATGACCACACTTCGCGCAAAACTTGTATGTGGGAAGACTTCTGCCACACTGCGCGCCAAACTTGTATGTGAGACTTGGCCACCGGCAATTAAACTGGGCAGGGATGACATGACTGGTCCTGAAGTCCTCTTCTCTTACTCTGTGATTTGTGGTCTTGGTTGTCTTGGTTGTCGTAGACACCGCGTAAGTGAGTGGACCGCATTTGACTGGCCTTTTGTGCGTTGCCACTTCTCTTCTGACGCGGCTTGCCCTTCTCAAGAGTGGATCGCCCCTGTGGACAATGTGGATCACCCCTCCAATGCCTCTTCCGTCCGCATTCCACATACACCTTCTTGTAAGTCTTCTTTTCATCATAGCTGTGTTGTCGGTTGACCTTTGGCGCAGGTGGCTGGACTGGGATACATCTCTCGTCCTCATGTGTATTGGCGCATCTTTGACCAAGATACATCCAGCCTCCTGCACACGCTGCAACGATTTTTGGCCCCAAGCCAGATCACAGATCTGGGTTTCCGGATCGATCTGTTGGTACTGGGCCTTGTAAGCTGCCACAGGTGACGGGCTCACCGTACAAACGACGGTATTGGTTGTACTTTTCTTTTTCTGACTCTTCGAAGGCCTTGTCGAAGAGCCACCAGACCAAATGTAGGTTCCCCAGCCTTGGTCAAATCGCTGATCGGAGCCTGCGCAAACATGAGTTTCTTTTTGCATTCTTCCTTGCAACGCGCATCTGTATTTGGAGCAAAAGACAATACGAGGGTCGCAAGCCTGGGAACGCTTAGTGGCAATAAAAATTGACACTTGCCACTGTTGCATGTTTTTTTTGAAAGACGCCACGGGGGAAAAAATACGCCACTGGCAGAAAGTTCAAGATTTACGATCCAACAGATTGCAGCTCCTGGCTTGAGAATAGAAAGAGGGACGCCCCACAGTCAGGGCCCAGCGGCTCCACAAGTATGGCCGATGACTTAACTCAAGCACACAACTCCAAACCATTGTGATTTTGGAGGCATGAATCTGCACACGCAGTGAATCACAAGCTCCGCTCCCACCACACTTCACGGCAAGCAGCCACACATCTCGAAAACCATCGTGATTTTTGAGAGGCGTGAGTCTGCGCAATCACAAGTTCCCACCCACCCACCACACTTCACGGAAAGCAGCCACACATCTCCATGCCATTGTGATTTTAGAGGCGTGAGTCTGCACATCACACGTACTGAATCACAAGCTCCCGCCCGCCCACCACATTTCACAACAAGCGGCCTTTCGGGGCGCAGGGTCTGACGACTCTATAGTCTATATGTGTGTGTGTGTCAACGTCCGCCCACCAGTCATCTAGATTCATAGTTGGTGTTTTTTGTTGGTGTGGCATTCTGAATGTCAGACGCTCCGCTGTTCGAGTGTAAACAAGCCAAAACAACACGTCAAAAAAGACCGTTTCCTTCTCGCTGCACCCCTTTGGTTTGTTTACCTAGAAGTCGAAAGACTACGTTTGCATTGCAAACCCAGTAAAAACGGCTCTACTACTCTCTAGTTTTTGAAGACAAAAAAAAAGTCATGACTCCTTGACGTTTCCCGACGCCATTTTCCGAGTGGGGGAGCGATTTGCGGGGCTTCCTCATGAGCCCGGACCTTGGCTGTTAGCAGCAGCTGGACCTTCACAAGGTATTTTCTAAGCGTCCTTTCATGGACGGTGCGGATATCACACGCCCTTGAAAGAGCTGAAACACGACCGACTAAATCTTCGTCTTGTTGACACATAGAAGCTACAGGGCTTAAAGTCCACTTTTGATTCACAGAGCTTTGCTCCAAAACCCTGATAACATGGCATAGCATATGGTGCTTTGGTATGAGCTTAAACTTCGTGAATTTCAGCCGCAGAGCATGCGACGCAGCCCTCAAGTAGTTCTCCAGCACCGCGCGCCCATGTTGAGCTGTGTGTTTGGCCTCCGGCCTTCTCATCCACAGATGTGCGTTGTAAAGGTTGTGAAAGAACTTGTTCAAGCCAGAAAGGGCACTGTGGATGGCTTTCAAGTAGTGTATGTGTCCATGGTTCGGGTGATCCTCAATCACTCCACTGTACTTGTTCCAGGTAGCGCGCAGCTGCTGCTGTATCTGCACCCTTAAACCATGACCTTGATCATAGTATGTTCCAGGAAAATGTGGAAACATTTTTTGAACACCAATCATTTTTACATCCACGTAGACAATAGACATATATATATACATATCCAAAGTCTATATTCACGGCAAGGGGCCCTGTGGGGTAGTCCGTGCTTGCGTTGAAATTAAGCAAATTCCTGGTGAGATTATTCATGTACAGCGGGATTCCTTTGTCCTTGCAAAAGGATTTCATGTCCTGGTAAATCCGGTGCAGCCTTGCCGGGATGTCACCATCGCCACCATCGAGCCCAAGGTCTGTCAAAACAACCTCATTCAGAACATCACCAGAATTTGTTTCGTTGAGTTGGGGGGACCTTATCACAAAGAAAACAGTTCATTGACCAAAAGTTGCAACATCACTTACCCCATGTGCACACTTTAAATAAAAACCTTAGTTGGAGGAATCCAGAGTTGCGAATCCAGACCCCGTGAGCTCTGCACAAACCCCCTTGTGCACAGTGTGGAAAAGGTCCGGGCGGTAAAGCCACGTTTTCCCCCAAAGACTCGGTGATCTTGCCAATAGCTGTGTAAACAAAGTTTGCTGAGACCAGGGAGGTCGCGGGTCCGAAATGGATTCCGGGCACATCCACGATGCCTGATGGCATTGGTGCCAGTCTGGGTACTTCTCTGTACCCGCCATGCAAAGGTGACAGACACCTTTGCTCTCACTGAGGTTGGCGATGGCTTGAGGATGCGTCCTGTTCAAGGCACCCAGCCGCTTTAAAATTGGCCAGTCGCCTTTGGTGTACAAGACAACTGGGTACAGCGTAGTTTCATCACCTCCATAAAGGACAGAAATGCCATCTTTGAACCCTGCGTCCAACTGCGTAGCAAGTTCATTGGCCAACTTGTCGAACACTTCCGGTTTCTTTGAGTACAGAGTTGAACTCATGCAACTGAACACAAAGCGGGTGATGAGGCTACTGCCAGCCATGTTCGCTCCCATCTCAGACTCGGCTCCAGGTCTCTTCAGGCTCGCCAAAGTGCCTTTGCCGATCACGGGTTGGGTCGCCAAGACCATAAAAGATGTCTTCTTGTGCGACTGGCCTTCGTCGGCGTACACACACATTGGCACACACCTGTTCAGGTGGTCTGCATGAACAGTAAAGACTGGGTGGGACTTATCTTCCTCAGAGTAACGGTGCCAAAACTCTTGGCAGGCCTTGAAGAGATCCAAGCCACCTGTGAGAACATCAAGTTGCCCACACTGGCCCAACATCCTGAGAAAGTCTTGTATGTTGAGAACTGGGTGGTCGGTCTCAGATCCAACATCGATGTAGGATATTTTCACATCTGCTTGAAGGTGTTCATCCTCCAACAATTTGGCTGAGCTTTCATTCTTTGACTTTCTCAGGCGTTTCATGTGCTGAAGCAGCTTGGAGCTCTTGAGCTTGAACGATTTTGAGGCGCCAACTGCTTGCTCATGTTCTTCCAAGATGGAAGTTGCCAACATACAGGTAATCCGGTCTGGAACCTGAGCAAGCCATTTGCACCCTTGATATCGCTATATTTATTTCGCTTGATCACTATACCGTGACCAACGCCTGTGTATCAAACGACGCCCTAGATACACACCACGCTAAATAACTGGATACGATGATATGTAAGTACCTTCACAACTTCAATTGAGAAACGCCAGAGCTCACAGCTGTAGAAACTGCAGCTGCTACCGAGCTCAAACCAGCAGGTTTGGAAGAAAAACTTGATGAAGCGACGCCTGAAGGCCGGACAGTGGCAAAGAGTTGGAGTCTCAAGATCCTTGCGTGCGCTGGCACTGCAGACTTGCAAGAGTTCAGGGTTGGGTCCTTTTTGTCGGTTCGCCCTCCAAGCACAATGTTTAGCTAGTGTCAGCCCACACCGATGATCAGCATCGGTATCTAAATGGAAGTGCCACGGCAGGATATATCATTTGCTCAGTGATCCATCAACACTTGAGATCTTACAATTGAGGGACACAACACCCGTCAGGACACTTCGCAATTAACCCCAGAACCCAGATCCCATCAAAGCTCACTTCTTATCCTTCGACTTACCGGTCACACGTCGCTGGACTGCAGGATCGGCAGCGTTGTCATCCTCCTTCGCCTTGGCCTTCGCCTTGGACTTGGGCATCTTGCCAGAGGGCTTCACGCCCTTCAGGACGGTCCTGCATGGGACAGGGTGCGCGCACGCGCACGACAGAGTTGAATGAGTTGTGTACTTGGAGTTGTAAGTTCATTGCACTGGAACCTTGTTCATTGACACAAACTCTCAGGTCAAGGCTTCTTGACCTTGTTGGCTTCGACAGCGGCTCGACCCACCCTCAGGCAAGTTGGAAGAGTCGGGCCGTTTTATATTTTGTGACCAGTCGTTCGCGCTGTGGCTACGACGATTTCTCAACTTCGATGAACTTGCCACTCAACTTCTTCATGGTCCTCAGCATAAGTATATGTATTCTACAGCTGACTTGCCAAACAGGCGTATACATCAGTGAGGTGTCCGAAATGAACGGCTTTTCGTCCATCCAGCAATGTTTTCTGGACACCTTGCATACAGTATTGGAATCGGAATTGCTCACCCCTTCATTGAGTGCATGGCTCTTCCGAAGGTTGAGCACGCTGTGAATCGATGTCCGTCTTGATCTCAGCAAGCTCGTCGTGAAGCTTCAGCAACAAGGTCTTGTGCTTTCGGATGCCTTCAAGGGCCCTGAGCAACACAACAACTGCCAAATTCCTAGTTTGGCTAAAGGAGAGTCAAAAACAATCAGAAAATTGGTGATGAACGGCTGGCCAAATCAAGGCCACTGCTTTGTGGCATCTGGACCGGAGACATCCTGTGGCCGTGCGCCCAAGATTTCGGTGTACTGCGCACACACTTTGCACACATATCTCTTAATTGTTTGCCTTTCCGGGTGTTTCATGCGCATGTTCGGGATGGCTTAATGAGCATGGCCTTAACCAATCGCTTCTCAATCTCGTGGAGCTTGGACTGCTCTTTGAGCAACTCCTCCAAGGCGGGCAAGGTCTCGTCCGGGTCCTCACACTCAGTGGGTCAAGGTGTGGGCTCTTGAACGGGAACTGCAAGCACGACTGTCCACCTCCAGCCCAGCCCCCATTGTCATGTAGCGATCTCCAAAAACATAGAAGCGGTATACAATACCTTTTGAAAGGGGTTAGGGTCAGGTCCAAATAGATGAAAACTGCAATTGGCATTGAGTTAGTTGGTGTGGACTGTGTTTAAAAAACAGTCCTCCTCGTCACGTTGATCGTTGGACCTCTGGCGACTGGCTGTAGAAGTCCTCCGTGTTTTCGATGTCCTTGAGGACTTCGGGGTTCCTGGCTCCGAGGGGTCATCAGACTCCTGATCAGAAGCCGCTGCAGCCTCAGCCCTTCGAGTCAGGGTAGGCAGTTTCACAGGCGTGCCCCCCTTGCGAGCAACTTTGCCACGGCTAACATTTGTGGATTCCTCAATGGATTCATCTTCTGAACAAGCCTCAAACTCGGCCAACATGTTTTCCTCCACCCAGTATTTCCACAAACCCTTTTCGTATTTGTCCTTCTCACGATGGTCGTGCTTGCGGTGTTGGGCAGAACAATACTTCACAATGGCCGCGATCCGCTGCCTGCAGAGCATGCGCGTGAGTGCGTGTGGATATCATGAAAGATATTTGCGCACAACATGGGCACCACCACAACCAGCGCACACAGGCGCAATCTGTTTGGAACATATTGGAACGATTTGTGGCTGAGGCCAGCGCGGAGTATAGTTCAGAGTGTCCTTCATCTGTGCCGGGGTGTAAAATCCCGCTTTCACCCGGAACGTGCCCTTGCGACTGCGCTTGTGGCGCTTGGTCACTAGCTTCACGAAAGCGGCCTAGCAAATGGTTTCAGCGCCGATTCTAAAGCGTACAGCTGCACGTGTACCTGCGCCTGCCCACTGCAAGACATTACAGCACCAGGCCTTGTCACCGCCACATTCATTCATCAAAGTGTTCAAAAGTTCCTAAATTTGTCGCTGATGGCTTTGGGCACATCGAGCTGCCCACTGCCACCTTTCGGAAGGCAGATGCGGCGTAGCTGAGCTAGGGCCGCTGCTCGCGCTTTTTCCTGGACAATTGCTAGCCATGTACGAAAAACATGAATCCAAATTTAGGGCCTCGATCACAAACATGGGTCGATCCAAATCCCAATTGATGTTTTTTCGAAGTCCATTCAAATTTCATCTCTAGGAATTAGTTCAAAACACACGCGAGCAGCCTTATCCAGTGGTGATGATCGCAAGATTCAAGAAGGCCCCTAAGAGCATCCACCATTGAAGCCCGCTCAGCGTCGATGGCATCCTGCCAGCAGTTCGATCGGATACTTGAGGTCGGTACGTTTCTGGCCATTGTCATCTTCCAGATGAAGGCTATCCGTGTCCGTTGCGATTCGAGCTGGGGCACAGGAGATTTTTTGTCTTTTCGAGCGTTTTGTTTAAGCAGAAAAGCATCACCAAAAAATGAGGCTTGCTAAAAGAGTAGCCAACGATATGATAAAAGAATATCACATGTATGTTTATTTAAACATTTCCAACTGGCCTGGTCCACCTGCTGATCGTCATCAATCAAGTGCTGATCGTCAGTCACCAATAAAGGAGTAGGGGTCTTCAGTCGCGGAGGGTTCAGCTTCTCCACCAGACTCTGTGTCAGGCTGTGTCTCAGAAGAGCTGGGCACAGAGGTCACAGAAGCGCTAAAGATGGGTTCATCTAGTATCCCTGTAGGGACTTTGGAATCCCGATCGTGAGCTGCGGAGTTCTTGAAAGGTTCCACCGGGTTTGACTTCTTCGGGGATCCACCATCAAGCTTCACCTCGGGGTCCAATGAAACACCACGAACACCAGCCGTCAAGCGTTCCAGCATCTCAGCATCAGTAGCTGGCACGGTCTCCATATCCCATGGTTCCTCCGGGACTGGTTCCTCCCCAAATGGTTCCGCAGCAGGAACAACGGGCGGAGCCAAATTGACCTCTAGCACCTCCACTGATTTGGACTTGTTCATCAAAGATGATAATTGATTCTTGGCCACCTGAACAGCTTAGCTGCTTGGAGCGTTCAACACACACCACAAATGAGATACCGAGTTGAGGCAGCTCAAGCTATTTCAACAAGTTGTTTGTTTTTCTACAGTTGGGGCCCGGGGACACTATAAGGTGCAATATGGTGGGCAACTTGTTGAAATTGCTTCTGAACACACATCATGGGCTCCATGCCTCAATCAGTTCAACCAAGTCATTCTCGGTCTTCACTTGGAGGCCTTGGTCCTTAAGAAAGGATCCTGCCGCTGACAAAGTGTCACGCGTTGACATGGCGCAAACAACCATCGGCGGTTTGAGCTTTTTGGGACCAGTCTCACACACGAAGCCACTCTTTCAAAATGTCAGCAAAAGTGCGAAAACTAGACCCATACGAAACGTACGGATATTTATGCAACTTTACGGATATTTATGCCACTGTACGCCCCGGTGGCATTTTTTTGAAAACATTAAAATAAGCTCAAAAAGTGCGAAAAGTGCGAGGAAAGAGCGAAAAGTGCGAGAAAACTGCGGAAACTGCGAGAAGTGCGAGAAGTTGACCACATAGCCCTTTTTACATGCTGTGCATGAACGTTTCCCCTACAAACAGCCCGATCTAGCTAGGTGCTAGGTTGTCCAGGCATTGGTTCAGACCAAAAGTCTTCCCATGGCATTGCCGTGACCAAAGTTTGTACATGGTCAGGAGTCTTGCTCGTGGGAATCTTTTTGAGGAGGTACAAACAAAGATCACCCATATGGGCATCGTTCCAAAGGTCTGCAAAATGCAGGTGCCAATTGGCTTCTGCCATCATGTCGTCCACCACCTCTTCATCGGTTGAAGGTTCCTCAACAGATCGGTGCTACACACAGCGAGCGCCCTTGAAGATTCCAAACACCCAACCTGAACCCCAACTCAAGTCCGTACAGGTGATCCGCTCAAACTCAACCATGAAAAAAGCACCACCCCCAAGTCCTTCTAGGGGGGGGGTCACATGTAGTTGGAGGAGCTTTTTTCATGGAGTTGGAATGGTACCCTTTTTCATGGTCGGAGGCTGAGCGGAAAATTGGCAGCAGAGCCTCCAGAGGGCAGGAACGAACCAGGTCTTCAACCAGGGCAGGATATATCATTGCCAGCTTCATTCCAAAAGCTGCTGGATAGACCCTGAGGCCGAGAGGCGATTATATATAATATATATATATATGATTCAATGACATGCCTTTTATGCAAATGCCTACGCACGTGCACATAGAACAACTCGAGTCAAGAAACTGGCTGTTTTTGAGCTTTTTGGATCCATGGTAGCCCCGGCGTCCCGTCTTCGCACATGTCGTAGAAACAGCCAAACGATCTGTAACAGAATCCCGGATCGCACGGGACATCTTCCCCATGCCAAGGTTAAAGACCCACCTGCTATTGCTCCATGCCTTTGTCCTTTTACATGTGAAGCCGCCGTAGAGTCTCATCCACCAGCTTTGGCGAAACACCTCCAGCAAAACAAATGGCCATTGGATAGACATATGTAAATAGCCAAAGATAAATAGATAGATAAATAGATAGATAGGTAGATAGGTAGGCACGTAGGTAGATAGATATCTATAGATAGATAGACAGTTTTAGATAGTAGATAGAAATTAGATAGATAGATAGATAGGTCAGTAGATTGGCTAGCTAGCTAGATAGCTGGATAGATGGATGGATGGATAGGTAGATAGATAGATAGACTACGTGTGACCATCAACACGGGCGAACGATACAACTGAGTGCGGCCAATTACCTTCATGCGTCGGCACGCTTCTCGAAGGCGTGGGTGTCGAAACAGAAGGCTGCTGGATGGTTGCTCTACTACCCAAACACCTCCTCGAGATGCTATCAAGTAGAGAAGCAAAGCTAGCCTCCAGGCAAGGTTTCTCGACTGAAGCAACGAGCCAGGAGTTGAAAGGAGTCTGCCAAACTCAAACACGCACATAGCAATTCCAGAAACATTAAGCTATACTCTGCTGTCCAGACTTGACAATGAAAAGCGACCCTCCCTTTGGCCCAACGCTGAGAAGAAAATTGGTAGCCGCTCTCTAAAGTTTCCAGCCTGCTGGCCAAAAGATTGCCAATCTTCGTGGCATCACAGTCCGGAAAGCCAAGCGGGTTGAGGTATGAACGGCCAGTGCTTCCCCTGCTAATGGATACAAAGCTACTGCAGACCACTGCAATGACAATGACATGATTGTCTTGGACGCATGCCAAGCATGACATGATGGCCATAGCGAATCCTGACGGACTCAAAAGATCAAATAGCTGGCCCTTTGCAGGCTTCTTGCCCCGTTTCGTGGAACGCTTGCGGTACGATGCATCATATGCCAAATCAAGTGCTGCTACCCTATACTTCATGGCCCTCAAGCATCGAGTCACTATGGACCGCCCGGCAAAGAGCTCACAACAGCATCAAGCTCCTGAAAAGAGTGAAGGCGACAAAATGGATTGAAAAAAGAGATGAGCATCCTAGCAAATTCACCTGGCAATACGCAAACACCTAGCCTCATTTCGAACGTAGCCGGTGGCCTTCAGCATCAATACTGCAGCGATAAAAACCTCAACAGCAAACCAATTGCAAACACTTAAGGACAAAGTTCTGCAGCCGCAACCATGAACACATCTTAGCAATTGTCAGTTCTAACCAACCAGGGCGCCCATGGAGCTCCAACGTGCAAAAGATTTGCCGCTAGATGAGTCATGGCGCGCTTCCCACTCCGACCCCGCGCCACTGTATCTTCAAAGGCTATGGAATGAATTCACTCGTGAAAAGAAGGTGAGCGACAAACTCGAGCTGCCAGCAGCATGTCTGAAAAGAAAAGTTGCAAAAAGCACTTAAGGACCATAGAGATCCGGCCTTTGGGCCTCTTCAATGTGGAATTCCGAATGCGCCAGGCTTTGCTCATACCTCGCGCGAGTCGAAATCAAAAGCGTGCCCGACTAGCGTCCGAAAAGTGGGCCACATGGCCTGCCACATCTTGGAAAAGAGGTCAGCCAGCTAGCGAACCTGCGACCAGTCCAAACAATTAAAGACACGCAGGTTGAGAGGCGCATGTTGAAAGGGCTACGTTAATTATATATCACCCCCAGCTGTTTTTGTATTTCAGTTTAAGCTGTGAACAGGGCCTGGCAAAGCTCAAAACTTCCTGTAGTGTAGATGCAGCCAGGGCCAAGACCTGGCAGCGCTGTACGCGCAGGGTTCAATGAAGGCACCGTGCACGCACCCGATCGGTATCGGACGAGCGTGATAGCACCTTTAAATCCACCACAGATCAGGTTTCAGATATCTAAGATGCATGACACGGTTGGTCATGCGCACACCCCGAAACAAATTGGCGAGACGTTCGTGCAAACGACGCCAGGCGCTGTGCTGCGTGGACCCTGCTGCGAAGGCAAGCTTTGGGAATGGAAGAAGGTGTTCAATTAGTATTGAAAAGTTCATGCGCATCGTATACCTCTCGTGAAAACTAACGGAAATCGGCTAGGTCGATGCATAATTAAGGGACCTAATACTTGGAAGAAGACTGGATCAGATGCCGGCAGCATGGATCCATACACCCCTGATCCCCCTAGTATGGCTCCGGCTCAATCAACGTCTACAGGGGCGGGCTTGCGAGGCTTGTATTTGGGATCTCGGCATTGCTAGCACCCGATCCTGCGGTCCCATCGGCATTTGGGACAGCCAAGCGGACGGTCCGACCCGCTAGCACCATTCTTCGGTTCCTCATCTTCTGAATTGTTCCCCTTGCTTTTTGCATTCTGTTTGCCATTCTTCTGCTTCTTGGTCGGCTGCTCTGTCACTTCCTCCGGAGGCGTCTTCTTTTTTCCACTTTTGACGACGTGTCCTCCACCTTCTTCTTCTTTGCACCTTTTGACGGCTCCTCCTCGCACTTAGTCTTCTTGCCTTCGCTCTTCTTGTCGCTCTTCTTGCTCTTCTTGTCTTTGCCTTCGTCATCATTTTTCTTCTTGGCTGCCTTTGGTGGCTCCTCCTCCTCTTCCTTCTTCTTTCAATGCTTTAATGGCAGCCGTTTTGCCATTACCTTTCACTTCTTCTTCTTCTTCCTCTTCATCCGCTTTTTGCGATTCCTTCTTCTTGCCTTTTGCAACCTTGCCTTTGGCTGGCTGCTCTGCATCTTTGTCATCATCCTTCTTTTTCTTCGTCACTTTTGATGATCGCTCTTCTTCCTTCTCGTTCTTGTTTTTGACGTTCTCATTCTTCTTCTTCTTTGCAACCCCTTTGCCATTCTTGGCAGGCTGCTCTTCTTCCTCCTCCACTTCCTGATCTTCTTGGAGCTCCTCCTCCTCTTCATCTTCTCCCTCTTCCTCCTCCTCCTC